ACATGCATACCTTTTTCATACATAAAAATACTTTCAAACACATGCAAATAGGTTCAGAACATAAACTTTTAAATATTTATCTTTTAAAATTACATCTTATATTTTTTTGGATTAATACACGCTGTTGTAGATAGATATCAAATTATACATATATTTTTGTTTTGAGATTTATTAGTCTTTTGCTTTATATTATATTCAGTAGTTATTATGTATTGTATATAAATTGAGAGTTTAGTTTCTCATGACTTTTTTAACTAGATCTTGGTGTCCGTTTCTGCTTCTTGTCACAACTAGACACGATATAACTTGGGAGATTGAGCCAGGTTATATCGGGTCAGGACGTGACAAGCTTTTTGTTATCACAGTGTCGGTTAGAGAAGCAAATCGTAACAGAGCGATAAGATTTAATTTGTAGAAGAGTGAGATGGTTCTGTGTAGTTTAGGATGTTCATTTTATTTATTTTGTTTATGCACATGTCTCATATAGCTGTGCTCAGTCTTTCTAAGATGGATTAGCCATATTAACATATAACTAATAATCAGAGCACTAGTTAGGCAGCTCAGATTTAGGGTACAACTCCTGTGATCAATTCCGATATAATTTCTCATATTACAAGTCTAGTATCACAACTAGTAGGTGAGGCTCATATGTAGGTTTATGGTGCCGAATCTGATGACATGAAATTGTATTTATAAATTTTTATGAGGTTATAGCCTCCTATATTTCCAAGTGTTATCGAGCTTAGGGAAGTCGAGGAAATGTTGATGATGATAGAAAAGATTATATATGTGATGCATTATTCTCCTGAGAGGAGAGTTGCATTAGTTGCATTTCTATTCAATGGTGAGGCGGAACGCTGGTGGCTTGGAAAGTAGAAGTCTAAGTTTCAGGGTCGTGTAAATACCCTGATTACCCTTGGCATTGGGCCAACTTATGCACTTTAAAATGCCTAAATCCATTATTCTGTCATTTAATATGTTTGATTAGTCGGCACTAGGGAGAGAAAAGGAGAGATTTTTAAAGAGATAAAGTCTATTTTGGGCGGCTTCAGATCATTTTTCAGTAGTTGGCCTAGTTCAAAAAGTTGTTTGGGTGGAGGTAGATTATATTTTGCATATCTCAATTTTCAATAATTCAAAATTTTTAAGATTTTTCTAATTGAAATTATAAATTAGTTTTACAAAAAATGCAATTTTCTTAGATTCTAGTAAATTTCATACACTTAACTTTTGATATATTATTGGTCTGATTATTTTGGTCATTTTGAGTACTTATTTGAAAATTTTCATCAATGATTTTTAAAAGCAGTAATTGATACATCAAGTGATTTTGAAAAGCAATAATTTTTATGAATTTAAAAATTTATGTTGATATATAAAAATAGCGTTTTAGTTCAGTTAAATCTTTAGAATTTTATTATATATAATTTCTGATAATTTAGTTATTTTTGAAAATGTGAATTTTTACTTAGTTGAGTTTTATATTGCCTATCGTTAAGACATCTTGATAAGTTCTGAATTTAGTTCCATTCTATTTTACTTATTGCAATGCATTGAAGTATGTGTATGTTGATTGAATGTGGAATTGTGGTTGTAAAAGGAAGGGGTTCTGGTTGCAGAGAGAAGGGATTCTATTATCTATTATGTGTTAGAAACTTTGAAGCCTAAAGGCTATATTGATATTCCCTAAAAAGGAATTTTGTTGAGGGAGAGAAGGAATTATGCTGGCGACGAGAATATATTCTTTTGTTTATTTGTATATACTGGGAATTAAGGATTGAAAGCCATTCTAATAATTACTATGAAATATGTTTATATTTGAGTCAATCTCTATACATTTTTAATAGTTATTTAAATACTTATTAAAATTCAGTATCATTATTTATTTCAAATTCAACTTTTTGTACAATACTTCAATTTATTATCTAAGGAATTTGTAGCTCTTTTGGTTGGAATTATTAGTTCTTATTTAGGCTACATTAGTCGACTGAGTCATGTTAGATTACTGCTACTTTTGTTTTCATTTTAGGCCAGGAAAAGGGTGAGGAGTAAGGTGAGTAGTTTTAATATTAGACTCTGATATGTACGATAGGTATGCTTTTGGTTGGTCTTCTTTTGCGGGCTTGGTTTTACTTTTGTAGTACTTTTCTGTCGTCAAACGCTATTTATTTTTAAGATTCGATATTCTTCTACTTTATATTATATTTAGTAGCAACTATGTGCTGCATATAAATTGAGAGTTTAGTTTTTCAGCATTTCTACAACTGGATCTTAGGGTTAGTTTCTCCTTCATCCCCTCGATCTGACATGGTATTACCCTTGAGGTTGGGTCAAGTCATATCGAGCTGGGTCATGACAATTATGTTTTGGTGCTAAATGCAAAAGGAGTCATAAGAACTTGAATTTCTAAAAAATATGATATGTACTATACATTGAGAGTCACATAGGCCTATATTATGATATTTGATTCTAATGTGAGGTATAAGGGTCGAAGAAAATTCATTACTTTAGCTATGATATATAAAGTAATTGTTTATTTACTTTAAGTGCACAATCTGTTTATTTCAGCTATTTGTAATTAATGTTATGCTCAACATAATATATTTCTTATGAATTGTTTTTACATTTAGTTAAATGGTTAGTTAATAAATCATTAAAATTCAGATCAGTGGGGGGTGTGACTTATTGAGCTATGATGGTTTACACATGTTCTACCTTTTGATTCCGATTAGGGGAAATAGATGGAGCTCGTCAAGTAGCTGAGTGTCAGAGTTAGTGGAGGTATTTTTAATAATTTTTATACAGTCATGATTTAGTCTATTTTATAAATTCTTTTTTGGCCATGATAAATGAAATGAGAAGAAATTTGTGGATGTGTTTATTTCATTTTATTTATTAAAGTTAATTAGAAGTTCTATGATTTATGTGCAAATAATAGAAGATATATGAGTAGCCTCCAAAACTTAGATCTTGGGCTAACATGTCCTAATTCAACACGGTATGACCTTTATGTCTATGAGTTATATCGGATTGGATTGTGACATATAATATGACAATAGAGGCCGGAGGATCATTGTCACGGCGACGATGGTTACAGAATCACAGTTGGATCATAATGCTCAAAGGATTGTCATCCGGTGATGAAAGGTCAAAGGATCATCAATGGGATACATTAGTAGGAGGATCTTAGTTGGCCACACACTACAAAGGTTAGATTACAATAATCACTCAATGATAGTTGGAGGATCTTATTTAGAAGACTGGTTAGAGGACTATAGTCAGACAATGATAATTGGAAGACCATATTCGAATAATGGCAATTGACTCTAGTTGGGCGACAATGGTTTGGGAATCGAAGTTGGGAAATGTTGTCGGAGGACCGAAGTCGGGCAACGATGTTCAACAAATTGAAGTTGAATGGAATGATTCAAATGTTTGATTAGAGTTAAATTGAATGATATAATAAATATCCAAATGATTTATATAATACTTAAAAATATTTTAAAAATAAAAGAGAGCAACATTAAATATAACCAATATCTTATATAATTTCAAATTTAAACACCTCGCCTATTTAAGTTACTAATAACTTCTAATTTAGCTATAATCCAAATTAAAAGATGCGAATGATGAAGACCCAGCCAAATCAAGAGATTAAAGAATTATGAATTAGGGTTTAAAAAATTAAATATTTTTATTTAATTAAAATTCTTTATTTCTATCCATTTGATTAAAAATAAGCTATGATGAATCGGTTCCTCGATTAATTACTAATAATGATCGTTGCAATTTGGAATTATGAATTAGGGTTTAAAAAATTAAATATTTTTATTTAATTAAAATTCTTTATTTCTAGTCATTTGATTAAAAATAAACTATGGTGAATTGATCAAACTAGGAACCGAGTGGTCCATCAATATCACAATTGGTTCTTCGATCAATTACTAATTATAATTGGTGCAATTTGGCTCTATGAAAAATAGTTTTGTTTATGAGTTGAATTGGTTAAGAGACTGATTCACAGTTGAACTGATCAGACTGATTAATTCGATCTGATTTTTAAAATATTGGAAAAATGAGAAGGGTTAATGTGACAAATATTAAAATAAAAGAAAATTACACTAGCCTACGATTTGGCCTTCTATTATTCTTTCAAGCATTTTGCAAATTTGTGTGTAAAATAACATAGTAAGACAAAGCTTTGTTGTTTATTATGCAAATAAAATAGAAAATGTTCTGATTAAATATTTGTAAGATTAAGAACTCGGTCAAAAGTGCAAAAGTGAATGGATGGTAATTTCAATTCAACAACATATCGTGTCAAGGCATGGAATAATTTGTAAATATTGGTTTTCCTCTGCTATAGTTAAAACATTTGCATATTTTAATATTATAATTTTAGTATTATAATTTATAGGAGATTTACAGACATATCATAATTTTTTTTTATATTTAAATAATTATTAAATTTTTATATTTACTAATATAATCTTCTTTGTATATATATATATATATATATATAGATTTAAATTGTTATATAAATAAATATAATTGATACATCATAAAAAATCGTCTTGATCCAATACGAATCTCAAGGCATATTTAAGTTAGATACTTCTGAAATTAGATGATCAAATGATATCCAAATATAGTATGCTTAAAATCAATTTGAGCGGCTCGATGAGATGAATCCAATGAGTCCAAGATCTGTCGTTTTATGTGTGAGTCGAGCTTAATGTCGAGCTTGTTCACGAACTTCAAATGATGTTGTTCGCGAACATAATGAGCTGAACGTATTAGTGTTCAAGTTTGTTTATTTAAGAATCGAGTATTTAAAATATTGTTCAAATTTGTTTGTTTAGTTAATTAAATGATCACAAATAAGCTTTAATCGAATCGAACAACACGTAGCTCGTCGAACGCTTGGTTCGCTTGCAGCCCTAATTGTCACTCTTGTGGATGCCCACAGTAAGCTTACTATTATATCTTTTCACCAAATCTCCACTCAAAACAAAAAGAGAGAGAGAAAAGACACAGCAACAGTTAATGCCAGCCAAACATCATCGGCTTGACAGAGAGTTTGGTCTCAAAAACTCTACTATTTTCCATACTTCACCATCCACCCCAACACTACACGCCCTTCGCCGTCGCCATCTTCCTCTCCGGAGCATGCGTTACCGCCTCTATATAAATGCCAACTAATGGGATATCCAATCTGGATGTAGGGGTGGACGGGCAGTAAGACATGGAGAGTGAGCAGCGCGAGCAGTTGGAGCTTAGGGCAATCCGCTCGCTAGGGCTAGGATTCGATCTCACATCCGACTTCCGGTTGAGATTTGCTAAGGGATACCCTGGAAAGCGGCTGGTGGAACTCGACGAGAAGAACACTGGTGACCTTGTCTTACCCGGCGGCTTTACTGCGCGTGGGGTATCCAGGGATATCGGATGCGATAAGGGTGATCAGATTCGATTTTGCTCGGATGTTTATGAGTTTGATCAGGTCTGTTACCACGCTTCTCCTGTCCTTGTTTCTGCTTCGTGCTATGTTTTTCAGAGCGCTCGTTCCTTCGCTGAGTAAAATGATTAGTTTTTTTTTTTTTTAAATTTGTGTAGCTTCTAGATTCTTTGGAATGCATTCGTTGGTATTGATTATTTTTCGGTAAGTGTAATGTTTGACGTTCTTGGGATCTACTGACTTACTGAGTTTTGGATTGATTGGGAAGGATAGCAGTGAATGTTATTGCACGGAAGATTTGTTTAACTTGAATTGTTTTCTTTGAGTTATATTCTTTAATCATCGTTTTGCTACTTTCCCTGGTCTTCGTTACCTATTTTCTTTTTGGCAATGCATTGATTTAAGGAAGTTAAAACTGGCATAATGGAGAAAAAAATAATTTCTCCATCTTGCTCTAAATTTGGTACTTTCACTCGCTACCCGGTCCTATCTTCTCTCCAATTCCTTGCGTATGAAAGAAGGTAAAAACCCAGTGGACCAATAAATTCTTCTAGTTTCTCACTCCTGTCCTATATCTCTCCACCTTGCTATCTATGCCTGCAATCATTGGAGATCGTCTCTCATGCATACAAATTGAAAGCGACACAAGGAATGATGTTGTTTGGTTAATTATTTGGCATTTTACTCCTTTTATTTTAAATCTCCAACCGTTTTAAATCCTGTAATCTGTTGCCAAACATCTTTTTGGATTTAACAGGATTTAAAATTTTTCATACCAAACACAATTCAGGATTTATGAGCCTAGGATTTACTAAATACGGATTTACTGGATTTAGTAAATCCTACTAAAATTAAATCCAATCTTATGCCAAACACCCCCTAAGATAGAAGACGAAAGAGAGAAAAAGAACATCAGAGGAGAAAGGAAAAATCAAGTAGAAGAAGAAGATATGAAGGTGGTGAATTTACAATCTTTCAAGCAAGTGCGAAGGTGGCTTCATCATTTTATTCGTGCAAGTAAGATCATTCTAATATTATTTATTCTTATTCTAAGACTATTTTCTTGTGTGGTTATTTCATGATTGGTATTGTTTTGGGAAAACCTAATTGCATGAATCAATAAAAATTAATTTGCATAGATCATTATTAAGTTGAAGTCTTGTAGGGACACCCTACTTCTTCATCAAACCTTGAATTGTTGACGCCATAATTAGGATTAACCGTAGCAAGGTTAAGCTCCATATTAAGTGTTTCACATAAAATCTAATTATCATTGGCTACTAATTTGGAAATCAGATTGGTTAGAAAGCTCCGTAATATGAGTTTTGGATTCCTAAGCCTTACCAACACACCAAAATATTAGACTTTGCTTACAAGTTTTGACCAGAATCAGTTCCTAAAATCAATTCTGATGAACTCCTTTTTCTAGTTTTTTTCTGTAAATTTAAAATAGTTTTTTGATTTAGATTTAAAGAACGGTTGCGCCATCCAATTTTTAGGTTTGAGTTATCATTTTTATTTATTTACGTGTGTTTAATGTTAATATCTAAACTAGCAAGGCTATCTCTTCATATTTATAATATTATTTAAATCAGTCATGTTACATCATTGTTAAACTTGAAGTTTGAAATTTTTGTTCAAGTTCTTGGTATTTTGATATGTGTTCCCTCCTCCTTTGAGAGTGGTAGTGTTGTGGAAGAAATTCGGTAATCTTTCTATTCAAACTCCATTAATCCTCTACTTTTTACTGCCCTCTTCTTCCTCTCCACAACAAAGCCAACCATCTTTTTTCCCCTTAAATTTCAATATTGTGGAGTCATTCTCCTTCCAGCATGTCTATAATTGATTGGAAAGCATCTACACCTTCTTAAACTTTATTATTTGGTATTAGAGTCAAGTATGATGTGGTGTATTGCCTATACTCTATAGATGTCTCTTATTTTGTTGGGGGGACTCTAATTGTTTGACAAAAAAATATCTATAATGGGAGAGATAAAATCTATTCTTGTAGGAAAAAAAATGGATAATGATATGAGGGTGTTCTTCTCGTAGAGGAGATTTCACAAGAGATGAGAAGAAGTATGGTTTGGTAGGACATGACACTTAAGGTTAATTAGTGAATCTAGGTTGATTAATCTCTCGAATGGATTAGGTTTGATTAATCTCTCAAAGGGCTCGATGACACCTCTAGGAGATAACTCTTGATAAATGAGATATGCCTGTGCCTTGATTTGCCCGAGTTAATATCAAAGAAAGATTATTATCTTAATATAATAGTCTATACTTTGATGCGGGTTAGTCCACAAGATAGAGGGTGAACCACCATAACCAATTTAAACAATTGTCTATCCACATAGAGAACTTATGTGATAATGTTCATTGAATCAATCGTCAAAAGTTCAAGAGAAGTATGAAAATACTCAAGTGTAATGGAGCTTAAACATGTGATGTTGATATGGTATTTATTTTAATTTAAACATGTGATGTTGATATGGATTGAAATTTATTGAGTTATGGTCTTTTAGTAATTAATAATTTTTCATTCTCCTGCTAATGGTGTTTTGAACTCCCGTTTTGATTTCTGCGAAGGAATGATCTCTTTGTTTCATTCTCCATCCCTAAGCAGATGTCTGAATTGCTCAATCAGAACTCTTTAATCCATGGAAAAGTTCCTTCAGGATATTTTAATGCTCTTTTTGGTTTAAGCGGGTCATGGTTGGATGATGCCAAGGAAATTAAACATCTTGCTTTTAATGGCTACTTCATTTCCTTATACATTTTGCATCTAAGAACTACTCCATTGGTTCTGTGTGACGAAGTGAAGATGGCAGTCCCATCCAACTGGGAACCTGCAGCATTATCAAGGTAAGGGTTATTGTTCACTATTATTTCCATTTGCTTAAAAGATGATACTTTCATATCCTTACCACACATGAAGGAATCTTAACTTTATTTTATAACTAAATGGAACTAGATGTATTAGATCCGGCCTATTAGAAAGTATTAAAAATGATTTTTTTTTTAATTATATCTAAATGTTGACTCTTAATAGGGCGCGATGGAGAAAAATGATTCATTTAACCAACCCCATGTAGTGCGATAAAGGCTTTTGATGTTGTTGTTGTTGATTGAACTAATTGACTTTGCAAGTCTTGTTGTGTTTATTGAGTGTTTGTTCAAAAGTTCACTTTAACTTTTAGCATAGCATAGAATTAACTAATTTTTTTTTTTCATCAAATGAAATGATTATCTTGAACAATCTTAGCTGAACCAATTTAAGTCTTACATATAGAATTCCTTATTTGGTATGTCTAGGTTTTATTTGGTAGCCTCTTCTAATAGCATTGATTACGAGGCAATTTGCAGAAACACACATGAAATTCAATCATATTTCGGCCGAAGAATGGTCGAACAAGGTTTGATCATATTCAAATAGAGTAGATACATCCAAAAGAGATCATAAGATGCATAACATTAGTGAAAATAATACGCAATGCATCTTGATATTGGGGAAAAAGAAGGGAGAGGGGAGTTGGGAAAAAGGTAACATGTTTTGAGATTCCAAAGATGACTTGATCAAGGTTTATAACAAAATTTCAAAGTTAAAACTATATCTGACTGAATCTGGATTTGTTTTTTTTTTTAATCTATGTAGCTGCTGAAGCCATGTCAAGTGGAGCTTTGATGATATAGTTTCACTTCTAAGGTTTAACTATAAATAGAAAAAGAACATGATCTGGACATACTCTGAGTATATAAACTGCTCTTGTGTCGAATAGATTTCTTTTTGTAACTGGGTAGAAAACTTTGGATTGTTAATACCAATATACCTGCAACTGTTCAGTACAATGAAAATCTTATGCAAACATCAGTATCCTTCGCCAACCTAATCACTCTCTTCTCATTTTGCTGGCTTGACATTGTGTTCTGTTACTACTAGGTTTATCCGTACCTATGGGACACATATAATAGTGGAACTGGGTTTTGGTGGTGAAGATGTCGTTTGTGTTAGACAGAATCATTTTTCAACCATATCACCTGCTGACCTTAAGGGGTACCTGGAGGATCTTGGAGACTGTTTATTTACAGATGAAAGGGTTGTTTCGTCGTTAAGTCAGAAAACCCAAGGAGAAAATAGCAAGGTAATTTTTTTTTATCTGGCTTTGCTATTCTCTTTTTAACTTTGTCATATTACTGATAGATTTAACCAACTAATGAAGGTGCCAGAGGTGTTCTTGAAGATGTTGCAATCACGCAACTTGATGCTGACCAGTCATTCTGAAACTTCTAGCAAAGATGTAAGCACATCCCACCTTAATTTGATGGTCAAGTTGGCAAATTTAATAATGACATTTTGGAGCAGGGACTTACCATTAATTGCTCAAAGAGGGGTGGAGATCCTTATTTATGCAGCCACTCCAACTGGCTAAAGACAGTTCCCAAAAACCCTGATGCAGTACTATTTAAGTTTGTTCCTATTACTTCTCTTCTCACAGGCATCCGGGGAAGTGGCTATCTTAGCCATGCAATCAATTTATACCTTCAGTGTAAGCCCTTTGCTTGAGAAATTAGATTGTCTTTTGCCTTGAGCATGTTCAACTTGTGGCATTCTTAATGATTTTTTTTTTATCTTATGTCATCAGATAAACCTGATCCTGATGAGTTGCAGCACTTCTTGGAGTTCCAAGTCCCTCGTCAATGGGCACCACTGTACAACGAACTAAGTCTTGGTCTTCAGCATCCTAAACAAAGAAAATCATGTCCAACTCTTCGATTTAGATTGTTTGGCCCTAAACTTCTTATTAATACAACCCAGGTACTATAATATTTCAAGCTTTTAAGGTGCTTTTTTCTTTGGGAAAGCTAGATGCTTATTCATTTCAGAGTAATGGTTTCTTACCACAAAACAATCAATCACAGACTTGTTTATCTTCATTTGTTTTACTTAGTTTAGTTGTATAACCACTATTTCAGGAAGCTTAAGTAGCCTGCTATGGTTGCTCGATCTGATTTGAGGTCGAGGGAAAGTGCATCTACTGAACATCTGAGAAATTCATAGAAACCTTAAATAGTGTAGGGAAATGTAAGAACAAATTAGAACTTTAACTCCATAATAATAAAAAAAATATTCTTACCTGGAGGTTATGCTAAAATGATACTATTGGATGTTCATCACATCGAGTGGTTCTTTTGTCAAAGCACAGTGATAGTTATGGATATGCTTGCATGTTTGTATGAGTTTAAAGCTGAATGTACTTTTGTGCATCTGTTTTTAATTATTTTTGTATTTCAGTATTCATACTTCTGCAATCATTGACAGCAGCACTAGCCTTTTAAAACCCTTTTGATAATTGTTTCATGTATATTGTATTCTTATTTTCCATCCATTGATATAAATGCCTGCATCTTGTACTAGTGCTTGTTTAGAATCTTTGATAAGTCCACCAATTTACCTCATGATTCTTCTGCGATTCAAACTCATGTTATATATATATATATAGAGAGAGAGAGAGAGAGAGAGAGAGAGAGAGAGAGAGAGAGAGAGATTCGTTGTTTTATCTATAGCTTATTTCTTGTTTTTCTTCAGTTTATTTACATAATAAAAACGCAGCAAAGGTTTGTTTCATAATTTCTGAGATAAATATGGTAATTGTCCGTTGCAAAGTACTCTAGGGGAGAATTTCAAAATGAACCAATCAGCTTCAACTTCTAGTTGTTTCCTTAACTATATACCTTTTGGCCTTTATGCTCTCATCATTTTATGCCATTGGAAAATTTCATCTTGTTTCAAAATGTTGTGCATGACTTGCTGTTGTAGTTCTTAATTCTCCTCTAGAAATTGTCATTGATGCTTAGAAATAAAATGGCTAGAGTGCGGGCCTAGTACAGTGAATAAGGCTTTGTTTGGGCAAATTATTGGGTCAGGTGACCGGAGGCAAAAGATAAGTTCGGACATCCAATAAAAATTTGACGCGTCACCTTGCGCTTTAGTTGCGCTTTTTGACTTGCGCTTTAGTTGCGCTTTAGTTGCGCTTTTTGACTTGCGCTTTAGTTGCGCTATTTTTAAAATAATATTTTATTAATATCCGGATCTATCTCTGCATTCGGTCACCTGACCCAATAATTTGCCCTTCGTTTGGGACTGCTTTCTTTCTGCTTTTTAATATAAAAATTAAAATTTTTATACTAAGAAGCTACTTTAGAAAGCAATAAAAAAGCCATCCCAAACGAAGCCTAAGTTATCTCAATTGTAATCCAGAGGTCCTATGTGCCTTGCAGAAACAATCTTTCTCCAAGCGTTGCGTTTAAACTTTGTAGATCAACCTCTTCTCAGCTCCTTCATTAGGAGTACCATGCACTATATACGCTTAGAAATATGATGGTTGGCTTTTAAGGGTGGAAGCTAACTTACACGCATAATTGAAGGCTATTATCTAGAAAATTATTACGTGCGGCGTCTGGATTAGTTCGGAGGCGAATCCGGACGAGCCACCTCACCCGGGCCCCAATACATCCGTGCGTGACTCGTCCGGATTCGACTCCAGATGGTCCAGACACCGCACATAATAATCTCTCATCATCTTGATCTTCTATGTCATCCCGACATCTCTTTTGCAAATTTGTCCATTCCTCCCAAGCATCTTGTCTTCCCTATTCTAACACATGAATTTATTCATCAATGATCATATTCTCATCTTTCTTTTAAAGGTCTCCAGTAATTACCATCCGGCAGTTGGACTGCGGCTGTACCTAGAAGGTCCAAAATCCAACCAGCTCGCTATACACATCCAGCACCTTTCAAGCCTCCCAAGCATGTTTGCATCAGCTACTCCCTCCACATTTTCCATGTGGCAATCATCGGAAGACTCCGGCAACCAATTTTTTGAGCCCATTCGATGGAAGAGCTGCTCCCATATTTGCACGGCGGCAGTGAAGCACAATACTAAATGGTTCGACATTGTTTCCGATGGCGTCTTCATCGTCACTGGTGCGCAGCTTGTGACGACGGGAAGATGGCTGAAGAAACGCCTTCATCTTCGCCTTCTCTTCTCGCACATCCCCAACTGCTCCGTCCAGAAAACTGAATGGACTCGAGCTCCATCGCATTCAAAGGGAAGCTTCTTCACAAGCTTCAGTACAGTATTGACCTCGACCTTCACTCACCATGAAAGCCATTGCCTTCACAGGCAAAAATCTGCAACATTAGATTCGGCTGTATTTGATAATGGCGGACCCCCTGTGCCTGTACATTCACAGAAACTCTTGAGATATGTGGACATGACGGAGATTGTGAGGGGGGCGAACAATGTACCGGGACATTGGCTGGTTACTGGAGCAAAGCTTGTGAAGGAGGGGGGGAAGATAGGCTTGCATGTGAAGTTTGCGCTATTGAATTACTTTGAACAGGATGGAATGATTTTGTGAAATAGAAGGGTCTCCATTATTTTTTTTTTATAGAGATGGCGTGTTGTGTGGGAAACAGGGAAACTTGTATTTGTTTCGAAAATATAGGATATTTTTAGCATTCATGTAAAATAATTATTATTGTTTATAGCAATTGTATAGAACTGAAGAGTGGGAGTTTGGCATAACATGATAGTCTTTCTTGAATTTAGGAGAGAAGCTTTATGATTTCACTGTTTAGTGTTTAAAAAAATTGCTTGAAAGATGCTGTTTTCATTATTTTTAAAGTTGTTTTAAAAAAAATTATTATTATTATTATTTTTTTTGAAAATATGATTGACAAAGGAGCTTTATAAAGTAACAATAAAGAAGCAAAAAAAAAAAAAAAAAAAAAAAAAAAAAAAAAAAAAAAAAAAAAAAACTAGAACGGCCTCAAATGATGCTTAAGATAGAGATTTTGGTTTCGTTTGAGATGACTTTTTTACTGATTCTTGAAGTAATTTTCTAGTACAATAATTTTAATTTTAATATTAGAAAGTTATTTCAAGAAACAGTAAAAAAAGTCATCCTAGACTAAGTTTTTGTTTTGGACAATTTATTTATTGTAAAGTTGTTATAGGCAATTAAATTTTTAAAGCTTTTATAAAAAGAGTAAAATTTTTTGAAAAAATAGAAATTATGTTCATAGCAAAGTAATAAGGTAAGTTTCCCAAACAAGCCTTCAGTTGTTTCAATCATTTCCATTGTTTTGAATATTTCTACCTTATATCATTTTCGGCCAAATCCATAAGGATCATAAATATCCACTGATTTCATATAAATTTTGTCTTAAACTGTTCTAAAAAATATCAGAAACGATTCAAATTTGGCCCCAATAAAAGATTTGATGGCTTTATTGTGCGTTGTTTGGAATCGAATGGCTGAAAATGGGGCAATAATTATGAATAATCTGTAGCTCTTCATTGGATATTTTTTAGTCCAAACTATGTTCCATTTTTACGGGAAAAACCAATGAAATAAATCTAGAAAATTATTGTTGAACCAAACAACGCTGCAACAACATCAAGTCTTTTTCCTACTACGTGGTGTTGGCTACATAAATCTTTTTTTTTTTCGATTGTGTCATGTTAAGAGTCAAAATCTCGTTTAAACCTAATAAAAAAGTCATTTCTAATATTTCATAACCCAAGTCTTTTTAGGTCTACTTCTATCTTTTTAATACATGTCAAATTTAATGCATTTACTCTCCTGATCGGGTCATCGGAGAGCCGGCATTTTATGTAACCAAATCATCTAAGACGATTCTTTCTAATCTTATCTGCCACTAGAGCTATCCAACTATTTCACATAAATACTCATTTTGCATTTTGTATCTAACAGTTGTGAAATTATTCTATGTGAATACGGACGTTGTCCGAAGGCGAATTAGAGCTCATCACGTCACCTATTTATTGTGTACCGCGGCTATGTACCGGATGACGTGGCTCGTTCTGATTTACCTCAGAACGGTCTGGTATCCGCACAGAATAACTTATCCTAACTGTGAAGCCACTCATCCACCTGAGCATTCTCATCTATGCAACATTTGACTTTATGCTTCTCTTTTAAGATTAATTATTCTATGCGGACACCGAGCTTCGTCCGTAGTCCAACCAAAATGCGCCACGCCACCTGTGCACTGGGTATCACGGCTTGATAATGTTAACGTGACGCATTCTGATTGATCATTTGCACCATAAAATATTATAGATCTCATCATATCTTATAAAATTGTTCTTTAAATTTGAGGGGTGCTTTTCTATCACACAATAGGGCGATGCATTCACGTGGGATCAATGGTTAGTATGTCACAATAGCACGTGTGAGTCAGCTGATTTCTGCCACTCAAAATCAGGCGGTGTTCAATCAGCATTTAATTCCCTGATCGTGTCTAATGTCTATCGCTCTTTAAGATGAAGCAGCTTAGTTGTTCTCAGCTATTTGGATTTGCATTCAGCGGGCCTGCCTGAAGGTTCTGACGTTTTTCAAATTCTCAATAATTTAGATAATAAAAATATTAAAATTCAGAAAAAAAATTATTTGCATCAAATTTAAATTTCAACACTAAACTTTTTGAAATTAAAAAATAAAAATTTAACACTAACTATTTTTTTTTTTTAATTTCTCAATTAAAAACTTCTATAAATTTTTTAATATGGGCAAGCGCTATGAATATAATGATTTATGATTTGTTAATAAAGTAAAAAAAAATCATTTTTCTTATAAATTTAAAGATAAAATGAAAGTTTTAGAGATTATTTTAATAAAATATTTTAAGAAATTCTTTTATGTGTCATGGGTTCTTGCTTAAGGGTGAGTATTAGATAGGGTTATATACTATTTAATGATTTGTAAAATTAATTCGATGAAGATAGTACAGTTCATGAGGTGAATCCAACAAGATTAAAATCAGAGGAATTCGAACTCATATCCTAAACTGTCTAAATTAGATCGAATTAGATAGCTGTGCAAACCCCACCAACCCCTCTTACATATCAAATAGTAATTCAGCTCCAATTGAACTTCATTTCTAGCAAAAAAAAAAAAAAAAAAAAAAAAAAAAAAAAACATTCCATATAAACTCTTTTCATCTTCATTTTCGAAAAAAAAAAGTTTATGTGATAGTGAGATGCCAATATATTCACAGTCACAAAAATACGTTTCTTTATTAACGTTTAGGTGGAGGCTTGCAGTAGCTGCAAATGGATATTTGCAGTTCAATTGGAGATGCCCTAAGACATATTAGTTGTCACCCAATAGACTGCTCTTTGCACAAGCTAAGATCATCCCCGAACTACATTTGTTGAGAGGAATTTGTATAACATTTGAATCATAATGATGTGCTTGATTGTGTGCGCATTAGAAGAAAAAAAATTCAAAGTTCAATATCCCCCAAAGTTATGGAAAACGTATCTCTTCAAAAAAATACAAGAGTTTTATCACCATTTATTTGGTGGCATATAACTTGAGTTGAAAACTTCTCAAAATTATTATGAAAGTTATGCTATTTTTATTTGTGAACCATCAATGGCATTGGCTTGCTCTCATACTTATAAGATTGTCACTTATTGTTGACCTTTTCTAACGAAGATAAAAATAGATCACATATTTTTCTAAAATTATATAGGATCGTTTGACCATCAAATTTTTTATATTTCAACTCCATTTTACTTGTAAAAGTGTCAAGAACTTCGTAATTGTATCCTTGATATGCTAATAGGAGATATTATCAGCAAACCACCATTAGGGTTATCCAACGACTGCCTGAATCGATAACCTTTTTTTTGGACATTTAAGCTAATTAAGACAAACTCATACGTACATCATATACACAAGACTCGAACCCAAGACCTTTTGGTTGATAGCCTAAGCTCCCAACCGACAGACCAAGGTGAGCTGTGCGAATCGATAATCCCTAGGGCGTACCCATGTGCCTATCTAGGAAAGGTATTTTCTGGTCATTTTTTGAGATGAGGAGAGAATAATTTGGGTCATCCAACTTAGGCCGTTGCACCCTGATTTGATAGATTCTAACATAAAAGGGAGAAAATGGCTCTCCCAACATTTTTAAATATGCCCAATTCCTGCATATTATGGATATTTTTAAAACTGAGAGAAATATAAATTTTTTTATAGAATTTCAATGCTTCTTGGGCTTCGTTTGGGGCGGCTTTCTTGCTGCTTCTTAAAACAATTTTTTAGTACAAAATTTTTAATTTTTATACTAAAAAGATGCTTTAAGAAGTAATAAAAAAATCATTCCAAACGAGACCTTAGTCTCCTGCAACTTGGGTTGAATTATTTGTAGACGTGAGTGTGACCATCTTTGTGTCTGTGTGAACTAAATATGAAGGTTATTAGCAAATGTATATTTTCATTTCATTCAAGCCAAAGAGTTGCATCATATGTACAAATGAAAAAGGAAATACAAAGCATAAACTACAAATGTGTAGGAGAATATTAAGGATGATGTCATTAGGATCTTTTGCACTTGTCCCAACAACCTTATCCTCTTACTTCTCAATCGCTCAAAATTAATTTGAATTTTGGCTTGGATCATGTTCCGCTCGAGGCAAGTGAGCCACGCTACAAGCTAATATTTCATTTGAAACGGCTTTTTTACTGTTTCTTAAAGCAGTTTTCTAAATAAAAAATTTAATTTTTTTACTAAAAATTTATTATAAGAAGTGATACGTCGTCAAAAAATTATCTTAAACGAGTGCGAATCTCGATGCAAAATCAAGTTGGAAACTTCAAAAATTAATTCGGAGACCATACAAACTCCGATTTCAATAAACTTATAGTCGAACTGAGAGTCTCGGAAATACGAACCCAACGACACCAAATTCGACTCAATCCGAGCCCAAATGGATCCAAATCAAGGACCCGAAGCGTTGTTGGAAGGTTCAAACCACAAATTGGATTACCAAACGGTTTCCAAACATAACAAGCTTACATTAGAATCGAGCGGCTCGACGAGATGAATCCAACGAACCCAAGATCACTGAATTCCGACATCATTAAGGTCTTCAAATATCTAAAGAACGGTGTATGATCAAGGGATTCAACATCGGCCGTTCATCCGACCACTCCCCCTTTACCCTTGATCTCTCACCTATTTACGGGCCATTCCACTCCAGAAATCTATAAATAGAGCTCCCTCTCCTCTTGAAAAAAAAAACCCCGAAGCCTAAGGAAAAGAGAGAGAGATCGGAGATCGCTCTTACTTCCTTGCCTCCTCGACCACTGTCGGAGTTCTGTCGGACCACCACTTAAGGCCCTCACCTCCGCCTGACCACCGCCTGATGCCGTTGCTCCGCCGGACCACCACTTGAGGCCCTCACCTCCGCCGGACCAC